GTCCCTAAATTTAGAAAACTTAAATATCTAAACTCAATGAGAAACAGCTTCAGCCATTAAAGTCCAGCAGCTCTCATTTGAATATTAGAAGACTCATCCATTCCAAGCTATTCATCTGAAACTGTTCCTCCATCTTCTGTGTGGCAGGGAAGAGGGGGATGGTCAGCGGGAAGGGAAAAAAAAGCCTGCTTGTTTTGCAGCACAACAGGCCACTGCAGCCCTCCTGCTAACCCACGGCTAGAGAGGAGGGGTGTGGAAAAAGGTTGCTTTGTTTGGAAAAAAAAAGAAAAAAAAAGGGGAAATGGCACAAAAACGTGCATGAATTGCATGCACGCCAATATTAACAGCGGATGTGATTATGAAAGCATCTATAGATATTTTGAAAGGTCTGATAAAATACTGACAGAGAAGCTCAAATGGTAGAGTGTAGATTTATGATTATTTTTTACATAATTTCCACCACTTTTTTTCTGCCCATAAAAAAAAAAGTTTATAAAAACTTTAGGGAAAAAATTAGGTATTCTCTTAGAGAATCGTGTGCAGCAAGTCCCTAAATTTAGAAAACTTAAATATCTAAACTCAATGAGAAACAGCTTCAGCCATTAAAGTCCAGCAGCTCTCATTTGAATATTAGAAGACTCATCCATTCCAAGCTATTCATCTGAAACTGTTCCTCCATCTTCTGTGTGGCAGGGAAGAGGGGGATGGTCAGCGGGAAGGGAAAAAAAAGCCTGCTTGTTTTGCAGCACAACAGGCCACTGCAGCCCTCCTGCTAACCCACGGCTAGAGAGGAGGGGTTGGAGGGACAGGGCCTGCACACAGTGGTGCAGTTCCTGGTGTATATTGAAAGCATGTTGTCAGATAACTGAAATACCAGCCTTGAAAGCGCTGTCCAATACCAGTGTTTGTGCGCACATGTCAATGCAGAGGGTGCCTGACCCACATCTTACGCGGTCCTCCAGATTTGTCACAGCCAGTCATTGGTTAGTTAGCACCAGGACGATTTGCACTAATTTGAAATCGTTAAATATAAAATGTATTTTATCTATACTCGTTTTTGTGCTACGTACAACTATGGGGTCGATTTCCATGTTCACTGCATCAAGACCCACAAGAGACTTTTTCGAAGTTTCATTCAGGCACATACTAAGGATATGAATCCACAGATATTTCAATTGGTTTAAAGCTGTAGCGTTAAGGTGTCTAAAGGCCCAGGTAAAGCACACCACTACCAAAACAACACTATTTATCATTAACATGAGTTTGAGAACCTGGATCTTGTATGAATATTTTAGGCAATGAACTGAAATGATTATAAACTACATTCAGCAAAATATGCCATCATACTTGCATTGTCACAAAACTACAATTTTATATTTAAAGCACAAAACACACACAAAAAAGTTACATTTGGCTGAGACATCAATACAACAAGATGAAAACACCCCCTGATCACTAGCTTAAAGTGCTAAAAAATTGGTTACGAGAACCAAGTTGCTATCCCGTTAGTTCAATAAAAAGTTAAATATACTAAATCGATTAGAATTTCTCTGAACATGAACTGCAATTCTGAAGCTTATGTAACTCACGCAAATCATGTTTTCTCTGAAATCACTCCAGTATTTTGATAAGGGTGAAGTTATGCGTTGTAAGCGACTTTGCACTAGATACGAAATGTGTACTGGAACAACATGTTGGATTCAAACTTTTCTCTGAGGACAAAAGAGGAACCGGCACTTGACTTTTCGATTTGATGCAACTAGTGAACAAGCCCCGGCAACCACAAGAAAAGGCAAGCGAGATGAAAAGCCTAAAGCGACTACAAAGCAGTCTCACATCTGCTCCGCCATACCGGCTTCATATCTGCTCAGAGTGGACAGACACACATTAAAAGCTGCCATCTTAGGTTAAAGACTTGAGGCAGCGAGACAACGACGATACCATCTTCAAACGACTCTTTGTTAGATTGTTAGTTGAAATCGTGTTTTAAATAACTTTATAAAAGCTAAATGTTTGAATAGAGTTAATTTAAACGACAAAATGCGGATGCGCGTTAAAAGGGCATCAAAAACACTACAGCTTTATCTGCCTAGATTCACAATGTTGTAAACGTAGCAGGTGCTTTTCCAAGTTTCGTGTGAGGTTTAATATAAAGGTTAGATACTAATACCTGTTCGACTTCGCGCATAGTACGAGATAAACAAAAACGAAAACTTTTGAAAACACGGAAACTCGTCCAATAATAAACCCGGTGCATTTTTTTCAGTTCCCCTCAAATAAAGTGTCGTCCGATCCTCCCTCCCTTTAAAACCCGTCTACCTGTTGAGGGGCAAAGGGGACAAAAGAAATGTGAGATGAGTTGTGTCCAGCTAGCTAGTTAGCTTGTTGTGAGACAATGAAGTCGACGCTGTCCGTCTCCTACAGCAGATCGGCCACTTCCAAGCAGCTCATTACCTCCGCGCACGCCTGCCTCTCCAGCGCACTTCTCACAGCCGAGCAAACGACACAAATTACAACATTCCCCAGCCCAGAAAACAAGCCACATCTATGAATTGTTCATAGTAAAACACATCCGAGCTGTACCTCATATAAACGAATAAATAAAGAAAACGAGGGAATGACCATCTGGCCTCAAGCAACCTTCCTCGGTATCTATATTGTCCTTCGGACGAGCGCACTTTCCGACTCGCTTTTCTGTTTCCACATACCATTTCGAGCCTCATCCAGTGTCACAAGCGAAAGACTCAAGCACAGCAACTTTGATGCTATCCTCACGTGCAGTTTTGTGCGCTTGAAAACTATTTTTGAGTGAAATTGTTGATACTAGGGGTCGGGGATCTCCCTCATTCAGCTCGGCCAATGATTCACCTCTACGTTCAAACCACCTCGTGTCTCAACAATTAGCTTGCTAACGAACGCTCACTTTATGTGATTTTGAAAAAAATGAGTTTTAGCAATTCGTGAAGGATATAAAGAATATACGCGTTGTTTTAGACCTTGAAGGGAATGAATTGCTTGTACGCAATTTAACTAGCATATTTCTCGCTTCCACTCCTATAGGGGTCCGTGCGGCTTTATACAATGCAGTGCGCGTGAGCTAAACGAGCTAATGTTAGCATGTGCGCGAGCTACTTTGAGATTCTTCGACAAGTTAAAATACAAAGAAACGGGGAAACTAGCGTACGGTTTCTGTTTTCCCTGTTAAGGTTTGGATTAAAACTACTTTTCGCCGTTTTAAAACACTGTTTATACCGCGGGTACCACAGTGGTAGAAAACAAGTTAAATGTACGCTCAAAAACATTTTTCTCACAATGAAAGTACGGGTATATTTGTACAACAATGGTAAAAACGTTTGAAACCAACTAATAAGTTTGTGTACGACTGACAAAGTTGGTGGATTCATATTGTATCGTTAGAAAGAAAGGCGATTCCTTACCCTACTCAACGCGGGTCAGTTTAGGGTTTTCACCAATTAACTCCTCTTCTTATAACCCGAAAATCCGTTTAAATACGCGAATAACTGTCGAAATTCAAATTCTTTCGGTGAAGTCAGCGTCTGAGCGTCCCGTCCTCGCCGACTCTGCTTCTCTCCTTTGTGTTAATTTCACTCAATTCGAGTTTAATCCGATCGATCCAGGCTCGCGTCCTCTCCTCTAGACTCTCGCGCTCGCTCACCTTCCACAGACAGGGGGCGCGTGCATGACTTGCTGGATAAACATGCGTGCGCGTGAGTGACCTCGCCGGGCTGTGACGCAAGTGCTTTTTTTTCTTTTACTTTCCAGGTCTTTATGAACATTTTTGTGAAACGTATTGTTTCGATAATGCAGTCTTGCGTGGACAAATTCCTTAATATTTTCATTCAGTATTTCGAGTTTTTGAAACTTTATAACGTTTATGTTTTATCTAACATAATAAAGAACATTGTGTAATTATAAAACCTTGATTTCTGATTTTGTGTTTTAAGTTTTAAAACATGTTTGTGGGCTGACTGAGAAACTATACAGCTGTTTTATATGTAAACAAATGTGTGCACATAGTATTTAAATGGTTTTTACTGGCCTTCTGTGAATCATTTTTCTTTATCAGTTAAAAGTAGAACTAAACAAGACAATTAATATGCTGTGGTTGCTTTTCCATTCACAACTTTACAATTATTAGAACAGTTATACGCAACCAAGCTATACACATACAAGCGGAATTTACCTGTCTCGAGAACCAGCCAATCCCTGTTGGCGGCGGTACCCCGGATGTTCAGGCCTGCCCTTGATCTTTACGTCAGACCTATATGCACGTAAACACATTTGGGTGGTTGCATTCCTCTGGCGCCATTATAGACAATGCTTTGTTGTTATAAGTTGCGGTTATAAGTTGCATTATCCGATGATTTCACTTCAACTAATTTTGTTTGCTAAAAAAATAAACATGAATAGAAAGAAAACAGCAAATATATATTTTATCGGACATTTTTTTGTCGTATGCAACCCACTACAAAGCTAGCCCCGTCGCACAAAAAAAAAGAAAAGAAAAAACTACACAAGCAAACTGAGTTTAGAAGGTTTTATTATATTTTTTTTACGTGGTAGCATTTAATTTGAGAACAGCAAATAAAGTCGAGGGTCACAAAGTTACTCCAGGTTTGGCTTTATCACACCCCATTCACAACAGACAAGATGTTCACCATATATCTATTAACAACATAGTGCCAAGAGAAAGCAAGTCTTTACACGATCACTCAGACACCTAAATTAATGTGGATCTGCACTGACTTTACACAGCGGACTGCATTGGAGAAAATTAAATTTGAAGAGAGGAAAAAAAAATAGATATATTTATATGCATACAAATGCATGCATATGTGACGACTTGTATGGATATATAGGTATAGGCATGTATGCGTGAGTGTCTGTCTAATGGATAAGTGAGTCTAGCGTTATCATATGCAATATATAATTGCACGTAATTACTGAAATGATCCTGTGTAACATGAATGTGTTATTTATTTTTTTTGAAGTCCCAAAATCTTTTAAGGCAAACAGCAGATCTAGTTCTGGAGATGTGATCCATATCTGGAGCCATGATTTTAGAACACAGGTAAACACAAATTTGGCATTAAAATAGGAATATAGAGCCAGAGTTTCTTTACAGTGAGGAGGATTGGGGGCACGGATACGAGGAGTCAAGGCAGATGGCAGGACCAAACTAAAATAAATGAAGTAAAATATTACCTTAAAATGGTGTCAAAGCGTTTTTGGAAATATCGCAATACTGCTGCAGTTTCAAGCTCTATACATACAGTATAGAATTTAAGCAAATTCAGTACAGAATTCTAGCTCGGTCAACATACACCAAAGCAAGAAATGATAACTATATATACAGAATGTGAATGATAAATACAGATTTAAAACAGTCCTGCTTTTTTCTTCTTTTAACTTCTTCACTTTGATAACAGCGGTTCCTTTTTTAGACCAGCTCTACGTTCCTTTTATTTTGACTTCAGGGTTTACCACAGTTTTCAATGAATTCACCCACATAAACTGATTAAAATACTATAGATGAATTTGTAGTGTTTAATACAGTTCAGCTTGAAGTCAAATGGGCAAAACAAAACAAAAAAAGACAACTTGCTGAGAAACAAACATGAATATATTTACCATAATAACTCCAAAGCTCCTGTCTTTTTCTTTACTAGTAACCATATAATGTCTGCTGTAGCCCAAACAGGCTTCAGGAGTTTGTCAGGAGGTTTGAAGAGGACCTGGACTTTATAAATATTTTTTTGTTGTATCGTTTTGGACAGCCATCTAACATATGATTTGAATCCGGGGCCTGGGCTGTGGGAGGTTAAGAAAATGTTAGTGAGTCCGACCAGTCCAGTAGAAACGTAAGGGGCAGAGGGGGACGTGGAAGTGACTGGAGGGTAAAGGGTAGTGCTCAGCAACAGCCCCCTCCGGCTTGCTGTCCTCCCTGACTGCCGCCCATCGTGGAGTTGGTGGCAGCATGCTGCGGTCCAATCTTGATGCCGTTAGCCTGCGAACACAAATAAAACCCGTAAAACACTTAAACCCTCATTTCCATTTCAGATGACAAGACCTCACAAAAGTTAAAAGAGCTCATGTGAAATGATGGTGATTTAGTACCGTCACATAACGCTGTATTATGTAGAAAATACCAGCCCCTGTAGGCCTGAATTAGTGGGCCGCTTTTGTCAGCACTGAGGCGGGAGAACCTCTGGAGTGTTATTCCAGCGGTAACACAAGAGACGCAGGGAAACCTGCCAGAGCTTTAAAAACACACACACCCAAGCTGGTGGCACTTTCATTCATCACACAAAGGTATCTCCGTGCCAACTTTTCCCTTAAGCGGGCTTGCGTTCAAAACCGACACGCCGTAGCGAGGCTGTGCTTTTGTAACGTTCTCAGGAAACTACATTGCGCCAAATCTGATTTATAGTGATCTGGGGTGAGCTCACATGTGAGCCTCGAGGTTCCTGGCCAGGCTCTCTATCAGCTGATGCGGTTTGGACTCTGTGCCTAAACTTAAAAAACAAAAAAACAAACAAAAAAAAAAACTAAAAAAAATAAACTTTTCCTACTACTGCAGTAAAATAGCTGCAGTGGGCTCACCTCCATCAAACTGGCTGTAAGTTACAAGATGTGAGGAATTTATGTGTTGGCTACCAGCCAATAGAGAGAAACCGAAGGGCCGGAGGGCTTGTGTGGAGCTTTCCCTGGAGTAAATCTGCGTTCCTGGTAAGTCATCATCCTGCTCCTTCCTCTCACTTCAGTTGTACATGCATTTATAATTGTATAAGTATTCACTACCATTACATTTCTGAACATTGTAGAGGCTGTTACAATGCCTGCAATCACATGCAAACCAGTATAATAATAACAGATATGCTCTATTGGCTATTACATCGGAATTTGCATAGATTTGAGGACAACAATGTGGCTATTGTGGGAAAACATTACCACAGTGGGTATCAACCATCCAATGAGAGACTCTAGTATATGATTTTACTCTTTTATTAAATGTATTTTTTTATGAAACAATGACGTGTTTGTCATATTAGCAGCAATAGTTGCATGCATAATTACCTAAACTGTGAATAAGTTAAATTAAAAAAAAGTTTGAATGACCATATAGTCCAACCTAAGAATTCGCGTCATTGGTTAAGCTGGTCGCAGAGCCACAATGTTTACTTTTTTGTCTCTGTATATTAAATGGGGAAACTAGCAAGTCTGTGCTGAAAGTTTCAGAATCTACCCACCAAACCATACATAATGGATTTCAGTGTAATGCTACAGGAAGTCCTCTTGACCCAATTATTTTTAACTTGTAACAGCAAACAAAGAATGTGCTTCCTTGTCATATGGGTTACCTCGTTGTTTATATCAAAGACTCCCTCCTGGATCTTTTCATAAATTTCCTTGGCCGTGTTGATAAATGCCTGAAATGCAAAAAGAGCCATATGTTATCCTTGTGATTAAAATGCCATCCTTCAACTGCTTAAGCTGATTAACTCAAATAGAACCTCAATGAGACCAATGCAAAACACAGCCAATATTGGACACAAAAAAATAGCATACTGGAATCAATATAATTCATGAATAAATTAGAGGAGCTTGACATATTCAAAGAGTCAAGAGTTTCTACAGTTGATGGCTGGTGCCCCCATCTGGCTGAAAGTGATGTTGTCTATTATTATTGGAATGGAGCACACATTGGTCACCCAGAGAAAATAAACATGGCCGTGTGCACGGCTCACCTTTAAAGTGTTAAGCCCAGCTACTGGCACTTTGTAGCATAATTAACAGAGCAGCTTTGCTTTTTTTGGTGCAACTGCCTCTCAGCTCTCCAGAGCCATCAGTCCTCTGCGGCTCAATTACCACCGAGAGAGAAAGAGATGGCTGAGTGAGTGCCGCAGATGTGTGTGCTCATAATTGTGCATGTGTGTGTGTGTGTGGCAGGGAATCTATGAATATGCATGAACCTTAAATAGGAGATTGAAACGTCATAAAGGGGTGGGGGGAAGGGTCAGGAGAATTCACACGACACTAATGAGACAAATTAATCATCGAGGCGTCTTATAGTGGGAGGATGGCGGGGGGGGGGGGCTTCCACAATTTAACACCCCCATTCTTTTAAAGCCAGCTCTAAGCCCTGCTTTAGCTTCTTGGCTTCCACCGCAGAGATCCTAAAGTTTTTCTCCCGAGTCTGTGCGTCCCTAGGGTGTTATCTATATGCATGTATGTGCATGTGTTTTCACACAAGAAGCCAAACATAAATCACGGCACGACACTGAAGACCTCTGAGCCACACAGGTGCTGTTTTACCTCTTCTACGTTTGATGCAGTCTTTGCAGAAGTTTCCATGAAGATCAGTCCGTGTTCTCTGGCAAAGGCCTCGCCTTCCTCTTTCTTCACCTCTCTCCGTGACTCCAAATCACTGCCATGAGAAAAATCTGATTTGAATTCAGATAACACCGGACTGTGAAGAACTACCATTCAAAAGTTTGGTCCAAGTAAGATTTATATTTTTTAAAGTCTCTTACGTTCACAAAGGCTGCATTTATTTGATTAGGAATCCAGTAAAAACAAAACTATTGTGAAACATTATTACAATTTAAAATAACTGCTTTCCTTTTTAATGCTTTAAACTATAATTTTTGCAGTCATGGCAAAGCTGAATTTTCAGCAGCTATTACCCCAGTCTTCAGTGTCACGTGACACTTCACAAATCATTCTAATATGCTGATCTGGTCTTCAAGAAACATTTCTTATTATTAACAATGTTGAAAACAGCTTCATATTTTTATGGAAATGGTGATCTATTTTTTCAGGATCATTTGATGAATAGAAAGAGATGCATTTATTTTAAATGCATATTTTTTTTATATTATAAATGCCCTTACTGCCACTTTAGATCAATTTAACTTGTCACTGATGAATAAAAGTATTAATTTCATTCAAAAAAGAAATACACAGACATCATATGTTTGAATAGTAGTGTAGCATTTCCTACATATTAGTTACCAATATATCATCCAAGCAAATTAATCTGCTGATATTTGACCAAATTAATATTTGAGATTGAGCATTAGCCAATAATCATGCCTGCTCAAAAAGCCATATCAATGGAAAATATATTTAAAATTGAAAACCTAAACTGAGTGAATGTGGTGTAAACTGGTGCATTAAACACCAGAGTTTAGATCATTTTAGAAATGCTCTGTACTCTAATTTTTCTTATGTCATTTGCTGCAACTAAACTGTTACTTGCCAAAAAATAAAATGGGCCATTTATATGTACTAGATAAATAAATACATAATAGACTATAAGTACCAATAATAATATAAATATTAAAATAAAAATGTATACAGACCTTTTATTTCCGATGAGCATGATGACCATGTTAGAGTTGGAATGTTGACGAGCATCTTCTAACCAGGTTGTCAAGTGGTTAAAGGTGTCCCTTCTGCAAATATAACAAACATCCATACAATTAAATAAAAAACAATAATGAACTAGCAGTGAACAACCTTTAGAGTGAAGTACCGGAAGTACAATGGAGCAGAACAGAAATATGAGAGCCATACGAGTTCGGTCTCACCTTGTGATGTCATAAACTAGCAGAGCCCCAGCTGCACCTCTGTAGTAGGACCTGGTGATTGAGCGGAAGGACTCCTGTCCGGCCTGAAACACACACAGACACAGGGATAACACCACTAGTAAAAGCAAGTTTACGAGGAACAATCAGGTGCCAACAATGTCCACTGGGTATGTTGCGCCTTCACTCTGTGCGTAAACCATCTTCACCACAGTCCCTCCAGGCTGCTGTTGCCCTAGGAACTCCAGCTCTAAAAGATCACAGTGTCTCCTCACCACCAACTCTCCATCCCACAATGCTTCTCCAGAGCGTGACGCCTGTCCAATCCGCCGGCCCCCAGTGCACAGACACTGTTCATCAGCGTGTTACAATATAAGAACCCAGCCCCTTTGACAGCAGGCAAATAAGCCAGGATCACGTATTTGAATTCAATAACCCATTCCCCCAGGGCAGCTGTTAACATTAGAGTTAATGGAGCCCATTGTGAATAAATGATGAATGACACCGTTATGCCTGCCATCTGCTGGAGTGAAAGGTTACAGGAAGGCCAGACATGCAGATTTCTCCTGTTACTCCATCCAACACTCCCCCATCTTCTCTAGCTTTATCACACAGCTTGTTGAAATAACCTTGAAATAAATTATTTATGGTGCATTTAAAGACACGCTAGCATCTAGATGACATCATCGCAACAAAACCACACTGAACAACCACTGTATGATTACCCCTAATTATCCCGACTCTGGAATTTCCTTCAGATAGCCTCCCCCATGCAAACTGCCTATAAAGAGGAAAACATCTTATTTAATGTTTAACATGACTTCTTTTCATTTGCACAGAGACGTCGTTAAAAATAAATAACTGTTGTACATCTCTTAATTCGTTTTTAAAAGAGTATATAAGTGTACAAAAGGAAAAATAAGATATTTCGATGTATAAAACAAACGTTGATGCTATGACCACAATAGCATGGATTGAATATCATTCATACGTTGTCTCCCTCTGCTGGCCAAAATGTTTATGTGCAGCTGGGACATTATCTTTCATCGATATTATTCATAACTACATTTCTTATACAAGGAGAACTGAACAAGTCTGCTCTCGAATGTGTCCAAATATTGACTGCTATACTGTACAAACATTTATACATGTTGGCAAAGCACTTATCCATGTCGATTTGAGATGTTTTAAAAAGCACTGTCATTTAAACAAACATACTCAGTTACAAGGAATGCTTATAAAAATAAACTTTCGCAGGGTGGCATATTTTGAAAGACATGAAATGAAATGAATGTCTACATGATTCACTGAAATATTTCATTTGAAGTCTTTCCCTATGAAGAGCAGCAGCTGTAATCACAGAAAACAAAAAAGGAAAGAAAACACACAACCTTTCAAAGCTTTGGAGTCAATAAGGCATTTTATAAAGAAATTATTAAATTGATCAAAAGTGACAAAAGAAATTTGTAACAAAAGATTACGATTTCAAATAAATGCTATTCTTTCACACTTTCTATTAATCAAAGAATTCTGAAAAAAAGGCATCATGACATTCTTCAGATATCAGCACAGCTGCTTGTTACTATGTTTCTTAAGCAGCGTATTAGAATGATTTCTGAAGATCATGTGACACTGAGGACTGGAATAATGCCTGCTGAAAATTCAGCTTGGCCATCACAGGAATAAAGTACATTTTAAAGGGGTCATATGATGCTGTTAAAAAGAACATTATTTTGTTTATTTGGTGTAATGAAATGGGTTTATGCAGTTTAAGGTTAAAATTATTTTCCACATACTGTACATTATTGTTTCTCCTCTATGCCCCGCCTTTCTGAAACGCGTCGATTTTTACAAAGCTCATCGGTCTGAAGAGCAAGGTGTGCTCAGATTGGCCAGCTATCCAGTGCATTGTGATTGGCCGAATACCTCAAGCGTGTGACGTTACGCCCCTTACCATATTGTGATGCCCTGTCCAGCCGGAGCGACGAGACAAAAACATTAAAACCCATTATAAACGAGGCATTTGTTGCATCCAGTGGGGACATAATTACAGATTATAATGACTTGTACAGTCTTTTTACGTGATGCGTTGCGCCGCGTAAACATAAACCCATGTCTGCATTTGTGATCGGAGAATTGACAAACAACAAGCCCTACTCTACACTGCTCAAAACTCCCGTTTGAATCGTCAGAGGAAAATTCTTTAAATATAAAAAAACTTACTTACAGTCTGTGAGTCAGAACAGCCGGCATTGTAGTCTACTCTACCAGGATCAAGAAACAGTCCTCCATAAAATGTGCTGCACACATCTGAATATTTGGGTTGAAGTGTTCTGGAACAGTGTTGTAAATACAACTTAACCACTGATTTCTAGTTGTGTCCTCTTTTGGTAGGCCAAACAAAGTAGTTTCGCTTTCACAACGAAACACACGGCGAGCTAGAGTGAGCGGAGGCCGGTGGCTGGAGTGAGCGGTGGCGGGCGGGGTAGAGAACGGTGCAGGCTTGCGGCAACCACATGTGACGATCCCGGGCTGGACTCCGCTTCGTCCACGGTGACGTTTTCCTCAGCGACCAACACGGATCAGCTCCAGGCATGACGAAGTGGACATCATCCTCTTTTGGAAGGCCAAATAAAGTAGTTTCGCTTTCACAACAAAACACACAGTGTCTTCACGACATGGCGGCGGCGGCAGCGGCAGCAACAATACTACAGCGAGAATAAAAGTTACGCCTTCTTTCTTTGCGTGAACATTTGAGCGGCGTTATGCAAATCTTCCCACATCGTGACGTAGACATGTGGGGGCGTGTTAGAATGAGCCGTTTTAGGTAGGTGTGGCTGACTCTTAACTTTTATAAAGAATATCTCTTTTGGATTTGAGACTTTACAGATCTTCTTTATGCACCAAGAGCTTGTAGCACTTCAAAGAGAAAGGAAAAATTTAAATCGCATCATATGACCTCTTTAAAATATATTAAAACAGAAAACAGCTATTTTACTAAATTGCAACAATATTACCTTTTTTTTTTTTTTTTTTTTTACAATAATACCGTTTTGATTAAATAAATGCAGACTTGGGGAACATGTGAGACTTACAGACTCCAATGTTTTTGAACGGTACTGCACATATACAAAGTCATGACTAAACATTAAAGAGAGCATTTACACACTTGAAAAAAAGTGTACCTACTTTCCTGAAAAGGAGATTATTTCAGTTTAGGTTTCTTGCTGTATTGGCTGGTAGTTAAAGGTAGTGATTTTTTCCCCCGATAGCAGCACTAGCATAAATCAGCATACTACCAGACAGATGAGTGAAAGAGGTGCCTTAAGAAATCAAACCTGTTCTTGTGTCAGCCACAGGTAGGGCTGGGCGGTATAACGAGTTTGTACGATATATCGATATTTTCTTTAAAAGCGATTCGATGAGAGGCAATACCGTTTATATCGATATACAGTAGTTTGATACGAGCGCATCTGAAAATATAGCGGAGGACACAGACTGAGCTGCTGCGGAGAAGGTGCATAATCCAATTTGTTCTAAACATGTGACAAGCTTCATATTAAGGCCTTTTAAAAACTGGTAAGACAGTTTAAGCGGCTCGGCCCATCATATGCTCGGACAGAAAGGCTGCATGTGTCACTGATAGACACTAGGCTACTTGTGCCGTTTAATGTGTTTGAGATGTGCTGACTTCCTGAATGCATAACTTACATTTCACAGGTATATTTTCCATCTGTAAATGTTAGAAAGCCATGGAAATATTTCCATTTGTCTGTCAGAAGTGCATGAGCCTTCTGCTTTGGGATACTCCGCGAAACATCTCCGCTAGACTTCAGTGAACGAGCACCTCCGCGCCAAACAGACAGAGCTCAATTAAATAGGAGCGCAATAATTCTAACTAAAATATACATTTCGCTGAAATATTTGTAGTTGGACAATAAATGTGACATGTAGAATCTTAAACATACAAGTAAGTCCATTTTTATGATAGCACTGACTGTAAAGTGACTGTAATGGGGTAATCAATTTTGTTCTAATTTATTTTCATCTTTAGTTTAGTGAATTTAACTTCTGCTTTAAAAGCCTTATTTTTGTTTTTAGATGATAGAATGGAATGTGATTTTAACCCTTTTTTGCACATAATATAAAGGCTTACACGGTTACATTCACTTTATTTGTTTTCATAGCCTTTAATATGTTTCGTTTTGTTGGACAACATTGGCCGGTAAGTGAAATAAATATATATTAAATACAGATTTTTAAAATACAAATACAAAAACGAAAATACAGAGATATATACCGTATAATCGCAAATCGGCCAAAAAATACAGAGATATGAATTTTTGCCCATATCGCCCAGCCTTAGCCACAGGTGCTCTAAACAGTAAAGAAATGGCCCAGGTGAGCAGCCCACAGCATAAAAATGAACCAGTTAGAAACATTTTCTTCCTGGAAATCATTTTGAACATGACATCAGGTTTGTTGACATGTCTTTGGAGGTCAGGGCTTTAGAAAGAGAGCATGTGGATGAAGCAAGGGATGCAGGGTTACCCCTGCTGGTTAAAGTTGTTACTATACCATTTGGCTGCAAAGAGCATCTTCCACCACTAACAGCCAAAAGTATCTGTGGATTCTGAAGAAATAAATCCTTTTCCACATTATGCTTATATAGCAGATAATTTTGGGAAGGCTCTTAGAAAGTTGAAATTGGTTAATTTCTCTTGGTCTGCTGCCTTTGACATCCGAGCTCATGATAGTTACTAGTAAACTGCATGGGACTTTGTTTTGGTGCCAATCAGCATTGTCATGGCATCATTTTTCTGTGTCTCTAGAGTCATTACTCACAGGCTCAAAGCGACCTGGCAGCAGAAATTAACTCCCTCAGGCATATTGCTGCATTAGCATTTTTGCATGGCCAAATCTGTCTAATCAGGAATAAACTTTCCCACAACACTGTCTCTACTGTGTCAATTTCATATATCAGCCATAGTAACACTCACATCATTTACTAAGGGCTGACCAACCTGACTTACCACACAGAGATCAAAACAGCAGACCAAAAATGTAAAATAATTTTCTACACAAATAAGGTGCACAAAGAAATCAGACGATTTTAATCTTACCGTATCCCAGATCTGAAGTTTTATCTGTTTGCCATCTATAGTGATCATTCGTGCTCCAAATTCAACACCTGTCGAGACAAATGAAGGCAGAGCTTGATTCGTGACTTTCGCGACAGCACAGGGCACTGATCACCTCAGATTTACATCAACACTACTGATCAGATCTTTCATTTTAAAGCATTAGCGATATAAAACTTGACAATACAGTTATCAAATGCCAACTTTAAATAAATTTGAATACATTTATTTACCCATGGAGAATATAGAGCCTGTTCATCCACACCACAAATTTCACTATTATGTGCTTAAAGAAGGTTCCTTACAAAAACACTTCAAGGAGACTGGCACCAGTCTGCTTCCTGTGCTAATGAGACCCATTCCTGCTGTTTTAATTAATGAGAGAATATGTGGTTGAGTTAAAAGAGCCTTACCGATAGTGAGATCATGCACTGGCTGAAAGCGCTTATCTGTAAACTGTAATAATAGGCACGACTTCCCCACACCTGCAAAGCAAACACAGAGGGTCACAAGTGAATAGCCACAATTAGCCTCAGGCCTATACATCTGCTCTATCCCATTACATCAAAACCATTTGTTCAGGCTATAATTGAACAATTGTAAAAAGTGACAGGGTTATTTATTTCTGTTTTGAGAGTAGAATAGGCCTTCCACTCTCATCTTACTTCCCAACAATGTGCATAAACATACAAGGTTTAATTAAAGCCATTGTAAAACCATCTCATCATTACTGCTAAAATGAATGAGAATAAAATAAATAACTCATGCACCGAGATCAATATCAGACAAAAAATTTAAGGGAGACACATTAGGGCAGATGAGTTTGATACAGCATCGAAGACCAATTACACGATGGACTGATAGCAAAAACAAAGATGTCTCCCATATTTAATTTCCGGTGTGTAATATTAATCAAAAACAAAGCAAACAAAAAAATAAATAAAATCTCACATTCAATTAGTTGTTTTTTCTCTGTGTATACTTTTTTCTTATTATCAAAATATTACCTGCTCCTTGAATGTGATTCCATATTTAATGAACTACGTTAATTGAATTAAGTAAAATCATCAGTTCAAGACATTTTATATTACCGGCATAACTAAAACCCATCCCCCCCAAAATGAGATTAGAAGATCTGCCATGATACGCAAACAGGTTAAATGCTTATGACATTAGGAGGAGACGTTGCCATGAGCAACAGCCGTTGCGACAAAGAGCATCTTCCACCACTAACAGCCAAAAGTATCTGTGGATTCTGAAGAAATAAATCCTTTTCCACATTATGCTTACTTACAGCAGATAATTTTGGGAAGGCTCTTAGAAAGTTGAAATTGGTTAATTTCTCTTGGTCTGCTGCCTTTGACATCCGAGCTCATGATAGTTACTAGTAAACTGCATGGGACTTTGTTTTGGTGCCAATCAGCATTGTCATGGCATCATTTTTCTGTGTCTCTAGAGTCATTACTCACAGGCTCAAAGCGACCTGGCAGCAGAAATTAACTCCCTCAGGCATATTGCTGCATTAGCATTTTTGCATGGCCAAATCTGTCTAATCAGGAATAAACTTTCCCACAACACTGTCTCTACTGTGTCAATTTCATATATCAGCCATAGTAACACTCACATCATTTACTAAGGGCTGACCAACCTGACTTACCACACAGAGATCAAAACAGCAGACCAAAAATGTAAAATAATTTTCTACACAAATAAGGTGCACAAAGAAATCAGACGATTTTAATCTTACCGTATCCCAGATCTGAAGTTTTATCTGTTTGCCATCTATAGTGATCATTCGTGCTCCAAATTCAACACCTGTCGAGACAAATGAAGGCAGAGCTTGATTCGTGACTTTCGCGACAGCACAGGGCACTGATCACCTCAGATTTACATCAACACTACTGATCAGATCTTTCATTTTAAAGCATTAGCGATATAAAACTTGACAATACAGTTATCAAATGCCAACTTTAAATAAATTTGAATACATTTATTTACCCATGGAGAATATAGAGCCTGTTCATCCACACCACAAATTTCACTATTATGTGCTTAAAGAAGGTTCCTTACAAAAACACTTCAAGGAGACTGGCACCAGTCTGCTTCCTGTGCTAATGAGACCCATTCCTGCTGTTTTAATTAATGAGAGAATATGTGGTTGAGTTAAAAGAGCCTTACCGATAGTGAGATCATGCACTGGCTGAAAGCGCTTATCTGTAAACTGTAATAATAGGCACGACTTCCCCACACCTGCAAAGCAAACACAGAGGGTCACAAGTGAATAGCCACAATTAGCCTCAGGCCTATACATCTGCTCTATCCCATTACATCAAAACCATTTGTTCAGGCTATAATTGAACAATTGTAAAAAGTGACAGGGTTATTTATTTCTGTTTTGAGAGTAGAATAGGCCTTCCACTCTCATCTTACTTCCCAACAATGTGCATAAACATACAAGGTTTAATTAAAGCCATTGTAAAACCATCTCATCATTACTGCTAAAATGAATGAGAATAAAATAAATAACTCATGCACCGAGATCAATATCAGACAAAAAATTTAAGGGAGACACATTAGGGCAGATGAGTTTGATACAGCATCGAAGACCAATTACACGATGGACTGATAGCAAAAACAAAGATGTCTCCCATATTTAATTTCCGGTGTGTAATATTAATCAAAAACAAAGCAAACAAAAAAATAAATAAAATCTCACATTCAATTAGTTGTTTTTTCTCTGTGTATACTTTTTTCTTATTATCAAAATATTACCTGCTCCTTGAATGTGATTCCATATTTAATGAACTACGTTAATTGAATTAAGTAAAATCATCAGTTCAAGACATTTTATATTACCGGCATAACTAAAACCCATCCCCCCCAAAATGAGATTAGAAGATCTGCCATGATACGCAAACAGGTTAAATGCTTATGACATTAGGAGGAGACGTTGCCATGAGCAACAGCCGTTGCGAAGCAAACAAGCAGCATTCAAAGAGCGCTCACAAGAGAGATGCATGGAGACAACACAACAATGATGAAATTACAATGTGCAGACTACACTCAACATACTGAACAATATAGTAACTACCGTGGAAAAAATATCGTGTATAGTCTCTTGTGAATAATTGTGACAATACAAATTATCTGGTAACAGCTGGATGTTGTCGCTTCAATCTAGTATTATATCTATGCCAATATGTTCATGGCAAGCAACTGAAATCAAACTAATAGGGATGAGATGCTTTAGTTTTTTAACAAATTAAACCAAGTTTGTATTTATGCATGCACCACTTTAAGAAAAAAAAAACATTCTCTGCTGTTCAGCACTTAAACAGATGTACTAGTGCTCAAGTTAACTGTACAGTAGCACTACTTATAGATGCATCTGTGAACCAATCACATATACTTATTTGATTAATAAAATTGTCAGCTGAATGAATCAATACAAATATAAATGTGGTCTGTCCTAGAAATTCAGTAAAACCTCACCTTGTGCCAGTTTTAACACTGCAAACTTACACCTCAAGCATGAACGCAGACTAGGCTAGATGCAATCTCACGATGCCTTGTAATGACCAGCTAGATCAAGTTGCAGATGAGCATCATCTGACCTGGGTTGAGCAACATGCAAATACACAAGCCTGTTTACACATCACTTTTACAACCACAACTGCCTAAAAAGTGATCACAAGCCCAATTTTACTGTTGTTCAGCGTTTTGTGAAATGCATTAGGGATTGAAGAGTTTATGATGGTTGGTTTTGACTTGATCACAGTTCAAGGCCTGATACAAAAGGAAGAAACTCAATCACTCTAGATGTGTCAAGTTAGGTAAAATATGTTGAAATGCAGTGGCTTCATAACATACTGACCATCAGATGTTATGGCACAACCTGTACTAAGGCATAGTTGTCAAGATTAAATGGATACTCCACTCAAAAAAAACTGTAATTTTGCCATAAATTTAGTAATTTACTCACCCTCATGTTGTTCAAAATCTGTATGACTGACATTCTTCTGTGGAACATAAAAGATGTTATTTTGAGACGTTATGTTTTTAGTCCATACGATAGAAGTCAATGATCACCAAAACTGTTTGGTTACCAACATTTTCCTAAATATCTTCTTTTATGTTCCACAGAAGAAAGTCATGGAGGTTTGAAGTGCCATGAGGGCGAGTAAATAACAGAATTTTAATTTCTGGGTGAACTATTCCTTAACTCAATGTTAGCAGTCACATTTTGAGCATACTCTGTAAAGAAAAGGATATAAAACGTGGTTCAGTTTGAGAAAAAATGCACCACCACTACAGTACGTCTCCACATGAGGCAGGAAAGAGGCTTCTCAGTAAACAAAGCAATCCTACCTATTATTCTGTCGATGAAAAGCTTGTTAAAGGTTACATTTGCAACACAAAAGACCCCAGTTTCAAGATGCATTTAAGTACACCAACAAAAGAGTCTTCCTTATGATGATTTTGATGCTGTAGGCTTCAGTGCAACAAAATCCTCAATACAACATTGGTCCTGCAGTTGAATCGAGTCCTTACCAATGTAAAAAAAAAAAACACTGAACCTAAGATTATTATATGCGGGGGAAGAAAAATGCATTATTTGGGGAAAAAGGTCCCAGTCCTACTTTATATTAAGTGTAGGCTACTTAAGTCAATATCTACAGAGAGAGAAAGAGGTTTTATGGTATGGATTGGTTTAAGGGTGTGTTAAAGTGTACTGGTAGTGTCAACAGTGTAATTACAAAAATTACTCACAGATATAATTAAGCTTGAATGTTTTTTTAAATACAAGTACAACATAAAAACATGTCTGTGCACAATAAATGCACTGTATCAAATGGTTCATTTTTAACGTTAGTACGTAGTAGTTAAAGACAATTCATATAAAGTGGGCCTGAAAACATACAAAATCAAAACCAAGATGTAACCTGGAATGAACTGGACGCAAAATCACAGACAAAGTTGGATGGCATTAAACATCATTAGCATTATATTAATGTGTTTGTCATCTAGCAAAACATTAACACTGTAAAAAAGAAAACTGTGCGGAACTTGACGACAGATTAACACTTTTGAAGGCAGAAGTACATCTTTCTGCTGTTGCCGTATCTCTTGAGGAAAGGCCTACAAGTGACAGAAATCTGGTGAGAACACTAGCAGGCCACAATTATACGGGGTTACCAGCATCAAAACACAAATTGTATGATCCTTATTGATCAATGGAAGACTTGAGTAATAAAACAAAGAAATATATTTTATAGGCATTGCTCATTATACGTGTTTATCCTCTGATGAGCCAACGCCATTTTCAGAAAAGAGTAAATAGCGGCTAGCGATGTTGGCTAACTAACATTAGCCAGGCTGTTGTGGCCTTTAGTTTGGCTAGAAAGAGATGCATGCAAAAGCAAGCGAACGCTGGGCTAGACGCACTGACACGTACACAGCATGTTGCTTTTCGCTCTACACGTAATGCTAATAGAAAGCGGAGATGCTGCTGTTGTTATTGAGGCAGACAGCTGATGTGAAGCAGCGGTTAGCTTGCCTGCTAGTTCCCCCCACCCAGCCGAAAACAAAAGACCGTGACAGCCTTACAGCCGCACACCGCTGCCGTGACACGAAGCACACGCTTAGGAATCGACTTAACGTATGTTATAATACTAAGGCTAATGAGGCAACTGGAGAGAAAGGCAGAGAAAAACATGCTGTCGGTCCTCCCACCCCTCGCGCCTCTGCTTGAACCACGTCATTGACTCCAGCACTGCGGAAATAACAGACTCACGGTCGCTGCTTACCCGTGTCTCCGATTATGATGTATTTGAAGAGATACGCGTACGCCATGGCCAACCGGTCCTGTATCAACCTGTCTTGGCCTTACTAAAATGGCTCCTTGAAGCTAAAACCGCAGGGAAAGTGTGTGTGTGTGTGTGTGTGATATATGCCTCCGCTAAGCCAGCCCTTTTCTCTCGTCGACGGGAAGGAACAATAAACAGCTCGAGCTCCAGCCGGGCTACGTCACGCGTCCCGCCTTCGCCACGCACGCAGAACAGAGGAGGCTGTGGACTGCACCGGAAGTTCACTCACCTAACCGCGGTGTATCAGATTCAGGTCATGACTGTTCGTCCAGAGGGCAGAGGGATAGTATGTCCTTAGACGTCATGTTCTCTAGACACTTTACAAGAGAATATTTATCCTTCCAAAACTTCAGACTTTAGTGATGTGATAACTTGAAAGTGAGTGAGGGTCTCCTGGGGGTCCATTATGGAATGAGCATCCCTAACAACTTTGAAACAGCAAAGTTGAAGATTCTCCCGTTTAAAAAACGAATTGATGTATAGTAGTTAGTTATAGTAGTATATTTATAGTAAAGTCAGCATGAAATGAAAAATGCATTTATTTTCTAATTGCATGTTATAGATATTTGCGTAAGATGCGTGTCTTTGGATTGTGAAGGAAACCCACACTGACGCGCATAGTCATAGAGCATGCAGACTCCACACAAAAAGACCTCTGGCTCGAACTGTATGTATGGCGAGGCAACAATAATTCCAGTGAAAATGACAGACTTCTCTCAGGTGACATATACAGGACTCCTTCATTTATTTAGTCCACTTAAACCCAGCCCTGCAACCTCACTTTTGTGGAGTTAATATTTTTACACGGCTTTTTAATAAAATTATTAAAAGTGTTTTGTATGCGTTTGGCCAATCAGCGTACACTTGCATCACTGGTGGTTTTTATAGAACTGTTTTAGTCCCTACTCTGAAGTACAGGTGCATCTCAATAAATTAGAATGACGTTTAACAAAAACCCACCAATTCACTATCTCAACAAATTAGAA